GGTTGGGCTGGTGCAGGGACAGATGTGTGGTGCGCCTGCAGGGTGAAGTGTGCGCGCCCCGCAGAGACTCAGGGGCACGCAGGGATGCGTCCGCCTCGCTCACGCAAAACATCACACCCCAACCAGGGGGCCTCATTGCTCAGCCCCACCCCGCCCGATGACAAACACGCACGCACTAACCCACCCTCTCTCCCCCTGACACCCAAACACACACACATACACACACACACAAATACACACACACACACACTCATACGCACGCACACACGCACCTGTACTGGCTGAAGATGGGGTCCTGGTTGACGCTGCCCGGGTTGCGGATGTCCTGCAGGCGACGCAGCTCGGCCCACGCGAACAGCAGCACCTGCACGCCGAACAGCGCGTTGATGGGCGCGTAGTACTCGAACTTGGCGTGGTCGTACCTGGCGTTTTTTGGGTCGGGTGATCGGGGGGAGGGGGAGAGACAGGGAGGGGTTAGGTTGACATGCGTAAGCAAGCCGCGGAAAGTTTGCGTGGCTTGCGTTAGAGGGTGGGGCGGTGACCGGCCCTTGCCTGGTCGGCCACACAACCCCCCCGCCGCCCGCTCAGCAGGGCGCGTCATTTTCCATGCGCGAAAAGCCCTGGCTTTCCTCTGCCCTGCCGCAGGGACGTCAGGGGGGTGCCCGTCTCACCAGGGGATCTGGGCCGCGGGGCCGCCGGCGCCGATCTGGTGGAACAGGTCGGGCACCAGGATGCCGGCCGCGCCGAGCATGGCGAAGCGGGCGTGCACCAGCTCAGCCTGCTGGTACCACCGGAGCTTGTCCTTGTCCACGCCCTGCCGCAGCGGGGTGGAGGGGAGTGGTTTCTGTCAGCGGCAACCGCGCATGGGCAGGCGCTACTGCAAACGCGCGACAGCCGGCCGCGCAGTGAACCACACCAGCCCTAGAGAGTGGCGCCGGGCGGGCCGCGGGCCCCGCCAGCCGCGAGGTGCTGCTGCCAAGGGGAACATGCAGAAGCGGGGCTGCTTCCAAGGGGCGAGGGAGGGTACGACCGCCCGCAGTGGCGTCCGCACCAGGCCCAGGGGGTCGAAGCCGAAGTCGCCGACCAGGGTGCCATCCAGGTGCTCGGGGAGCTTGTTCCCGGGGAACCAGCTGGGGCGGGCGGCCGCGGCCTGACGGGGAGCGTCGGGGCGGGGGTGAGGCCGAAGACGGACGGGCGGTTGGAGCGGAGGGCCACGGAAGGCGGCGCCTGGCTTGCCGGCTCGAAGCCTTTGCTTTCAGCTGCTGCTGCACCCTCCCAGCGCTTCTGCACGGCCTGGCCCGCTCGGACGCTGGGGCGCCGCCTGCGCCTGGCGGTCTGCTGCTGTGTTTATGCTGCACTGCCAGCAATAGGGCGTGCTGCGTTGGCCTCAGGGCCCCGCCGCTCTGTGCTGGAGGCCATGTTGCCGACGCTGGCTAGGCACAGTGGCGCGACGCCCAGGGGCATGGGGTTTGGCGCCGGAGCGGCTTCGGTCTCAGGACACCCTCCATCGCGTCGGGACCGTCCGTACGTGTCATCACCTCCTCAAGTTTTACTACGGCTCAGAGATCCGAGCCGCGGTGCGCGCGCGAGCAAATCACCGTTCCCAGTCCCACCCGGGGATCTCCCCCAGCCCTCACCTGCACGCGCACGGTGGTGCGACGGCTGCTGGCACGGCTCACGCCGGCCTTGGCGGACGCGTTGAAGTGGGTCAGCTGCATGGTGCCGACTAGCTGGACAAGGCTTGCTGAGGGGATCTCGGAGTCGGAAAGGACTCGACGATGATAAAGCAGTGCGGTCTTGCTAGTGCGGTCTTGTAAGTCGTGGCCTGACGGTCTAGCTGCGTTTCGCCCCCCCAAATGAATCTCGCGCGATTGCGTCGACCAGAGAGGCCTGGGCCTACAGTAACGTTATGGTTGATTGGAATGAGAAGTATGAAAAAGAAAGCGCTAGGCTGTGTTTGATCCAGCCTGCGGCCGCCAGTGCCAGGCAGCCAGGGGCGAGGGGCCAAGCAGGTGATGTTCCGTTTAACACCTTCAGCACAAGCCCATGTTCATTCTGAACAGCACTAGTAGCGCGCTTATGCTGTTTGCATGCGTTCAGGGCGTCGATCCCCAGATGCCTTGATGGGTGCAAGTTGACCCCATTGACCGGGACGCCGACCAAGTACAGCTTGCGATGCGATGCACTCGCTCGCTTGGAGGGGAAATTCACGTAGCATTACAAGTTAATTGTAATACAGCGCGCATACCTGATGGGTCACCCCTGATGTGGATGTGTTGATTCGCGGGTGCCCCGCTGTCACTGGCCATGCGCACAGGGCAGCTCACACTCCCGGTTCCCACAGTGTGGTGGTTGCAAGACCATACATTCGGACATAAAAAGCACAGTGGCTTGTTTGGCTTGGCGTGATACTTGGGCTGCACAAGGCTGTGTGCACACGCGCGGTGTGAGACTAAGAGATTGTGGAGCTGAAGCCAGGGCAACCGATACCTCGGCATGTGAAAGAAGGCCCTGTCGCTGTCAGTTATATGGGCAGCCTGCGTCATCGACCCGCGTGCGGAGCCCCGATGCATTACGGCTATTGCGCCTGCGGCCTTCTCGCATGTGCGTGTTGACTGGACCGGGATGGAGCCGCACAAGAACATCGAGCATTACAAAGACTAATGTACTACATAATCAGCTAGGCATCAAAAGATTATTGGGGGCTGCTTGCGTGGATTATTGGGGCCGAGATCAGTAGTCCACACTCAATCCAGCACATGTGCATGCATTTTTACCGACGACACTCTCTTCAATTACTTTTGTCTAGTTGCTCTGCAGCATTTTCGTCGCCTTAGCGAAGGGGACACACAGGATGGCGCTTCAGCAGCAGTTCTCGGGGGCCCGGGCGGCGTCTAGGCCGACCCGCCCTGCTCGTGCAGGTGAGATGGATTATGTTATACCCATGGGGCTCCGCCTGGAAGCAATGGGCGATGTTCGCGGCGGGCGGAGCGATCATAAGCGTTTCGTCTCAGCTCCACGGCGTTCAAGGGGGAGCGCTGGAGGAGCCGTCAAACAGTCTGTTGTAATGGTGTCAGCTTCACAACGCCGGCTAAGGCGGTGCGCCAGCCGCGATGCGCTGTAATGTGCAGGCTCCAGTGCCGGGGCGGCTGGTCCGGCAGCATCGCTGCAGCGCTCTGCCCAGCTCAATCAGCGCTCCAGAGTTGCAACCCGCAGAATCAGGCTCGCTTATGTGGGCGACTCCGGGTCATGTCCGTGCACCATCTCCCTCCCACCGCCGAACGCTGACATTGGATTATTTGGGCGCCTCCCGCCCTTGACCACGGGACCGCAGGCAGCGTGGTCGTGCGCGCGGCCGCGGCCGCCGCGCGCGACCCGTCCAAGCGCATCGTCATCACCGGCATCGGCTGCTGCACGGTGCGACCCCCGCCCGGGCGCGCTCCGCCCACTCCCCTACGGTATTGCGACGGCCGCGGCGGCCTCGTGTCCGCCTTGCAAAGGGGTTCCAGCTGCCACCTGCTGACGCACGGCTCTCATTTTCCCCCCTCTTGTTTTGACAGGTATTCGGCAACGACCCAGACACTTTCTACAACAGGTGCGGCGCCCACACCGCAGCCCCCTTCTCACCATAGCGCTTCGCGCCGAGGACGGCGCCGAACGTCATCCCATCACACACACAGCATGGGCCGCCTCCCCCGCCGACGCCCCCTCCCCTCGCGCGGCCCCGCTCCCCCGTCCTACGCGGCCCTGGCTCCTCCCCGCAGGCTGCTGGCTGGCGAGAGCGGCATATCCCTGATCGACCGCTTCGATGCGTCCGAGTTCCCCACCAAGTTTGGCGGCCAGATCAAGAACTTTGACGACGAGGGGTGAGACGCCGATTCAGAGGAGGAGCGGATGCTGGGAAGGCCCTCCGGTTGGGAGCCTGTCCAGACGGCAACGCCGAAGCGGCTGCAGCCGCAGCCGCCGCTCGGGTTGCCGACGACCGTCGCCTGCCGCAGCGGCCGGGGCGCGGCGGCGATGGCCGGGGGGGCCGGGGCTCGGTGCATTCGGTGCTGCGTGGAGGGGGGCCGCCGGGGGGCCTCGTTGCCCTGACCGCCTGCCAGCACGCCGCTTTGCTGCTGCCGGCTTGCTGCTGTTCATGAGACCATTCCTGACCGGCCCCCTGGCCGCGGGCCCCCTCCCCGCAGCCTCATTGACAAGAAGAACGCGCGCCGCTACGACGACTGCCTCAAGTACACCCTGGTGTCGGGCAAGAAGGTGGGGGGAAGCTGCCAGACAGGCTCCAGGAGGGGAGGGAGGTGAAAGCGCGCAGGCAGCGGGGAAAGCGCGACGAGCACAAGGAACAGGGGGAGGGAGGGGAGGGGAGCCCCTCTGTGGTGCAGGATCCCTGCGCCGGCAGCCGCGGCGCCGCAGCACATGTAAGGGGGGAGAGGTAACTTCGCCCCACCTGGCCAGGTACGCCTCAGCGGCAGGAAGCACTGCCCGTCATTCGACAGTCCCCTCCTTGCGTTTTCGTCACGCCAGACAAGCCCCCCGCCTCACGGTCTTCTGCTGTCCCACCCCCATCAATCACCCACACATACACACACCCCATCACATACCAACACACTACCACCCCGGATCTTGTAACAATCCTAATCCTAATCCTAATCCTAATCCTGAGTCTAATCCACCCACACGCCCTGCATGGCAGGCCCTGGCTGAGGCTGGCCTGGTGAAGGGCAACGAGGCCTTTGAGAAGCTGGACAAGACGCGCTGCGGCATCCTGGTGGGCAGCGGGATGGGCGGCCTGCAGGTCTTCCAGGACGGTGAGCAGTGGGGGGG